ATTTCTACGTAATAAATTATATTTTCTGTAAGTTTTGTAATTAGGCTGGCATTTATTAAACACACTTTATTATACCACCAACTTTTATAAAATCCCTCATGCCAGAAACTAAGATCCGCTCAGCATAGTTGCAGTATAAACCACAGGTGGACATTGTGGGTATTGAACAAACACAAATGTGCCTGAGCAGGCGTCTGCAACAGGGATTGGCTAGCCTCCCTATTAGACAGACATACTCTTATACGAGCGGCCGGCCTCTGTATGGATATCTGATACTCTAGTGTTTAGAAGATTCGCCAACGTGTGAAAATCCTCACCGGAAGAAAAATAGATAAATAAATGGTAGCGGGTTGAAGACAGTTGTCTCAGGTGTCGGGTGTCGGGATGAAACAAGCTTGTGTTAACTTTGCATTTAAGTATCATGTCTCTATTCGAGGATTTCCATCGATCAGCACAAAAAAGAAAGCAAAAATAAAAAAAATTTTGTTTATCAAAATAGATGTAGCAGTTCTGAGTGCCATTGTATTCGACTGGGAACGGCAGGACATAATTAACGAATTAGCAATTAGGAAGAAGGATAAAGATATACTTCTAAAAAGAGTTTCCCTCTGAGATCTTCCACTAAGAATGTTTGCCTCTTAGCAAACACGCAGGCCTGAAACTGCTATATAACAATAAAATTTGTTGTGATATATATTTATATTATGAAATGGACAAAGTCCGACAATTATTTTAAGACATTTTTATGTTTATACATTCTTTTTATAGATACAAATATTTAAGTAAAAGCTCTCTTTTATAATAAACAATATTAAACAACATTTACCGGCCTGAATTTCCGAGAAATTTGCATAGAAAATTTTCGTCCTCCGACAGAATCGAACCTGCATCCTATGCGGAACCGTCATATAGCCCTGACGTGCCTTAACCGATTTGGCTACAGAGGAGCGTTCGGTTAGCAAGGTGGACATAAAATGTCTTTATATATATATATATATATATATATATATATAACATTGAAAAACATAAGGAAAAAATTAATTATTTTTAATAATATGTGGAAATCTCCGCCTTTTACCTGAAGACGGTCGCGAGACCAGAAACACGTGTAGTAAAATTATGGAAAATAAAACATAATATTTCTTTTTTTTTTTAATCCACTTTACAACCAAAAACGTTTGCGGCACCTCTCTTCTCTTCTTTTTAATATACACACTTTTCTCTCGTTGGAACCACTATAACCTCTTTCTTTTATATATATATATATATATATATATATATGTATGTATTTAAATAAAAAGAAAGAACAGTAAGATATATAATCCGGTGTTCTTATAGATATTTTTATTTTTTACAAAATAGTGCTCAATGTAAATTTACAGAACATTAATATTATAAATTAATTGATTTAAAATATGGATTTTTTCCGCTACACAGTTCTAACCATGTTTCAAAAATGGAAGCTAAAAGCCACGAATTTAATTTTGCAATTAAATTAAAGACATTAATTCCATTTCATCCTCAAGCGAATTTTGGAGACTCTTTAATTTAATTGCAAAATTAAATTCGTGGCTTTTAGCTTCCATTTTTGAAACATGGTTAGAACTGTGTAGCGGAAAAAAACATATTTTAAATCAATTAATTTATAATATATATATATATATATATATATATATATATATATATATGGTATACCGTTATCCCATACATTGGCACTATGGTTATTTGAGGCTTCCTATATTTCCACTCCATCGTCACTTTGTTGGTGTGCTACTTGCTCTCCCACTGAATACTAATAATAATGACAATAATAATAATAATACTGAAATATTTTTAGCATCACATAGTTTTGTTGATGGTATCAATTACATTGACGTCATAAGATTATTGGTATTGACGTCATCAGGTGAAAACCGATACTCACTTCCGGACACACTATTTGGTCAGCATGGAGCATCTGCTTTGCGAAAGCTAATAAAATTAAATACGTGTGTCCGTCCGTGTGTAGGTGAGAATGTAAGATGAATGTGTGTCCAAGGGAACTGGAGACACATCGAGTGAATATTGTGCCATGTTTGAGTGAGAAAAAAATGAAACGGGAGAAGGAATTTACCGTGAATGGAAGAGAGAGACAGAAAGCGAGTGAGAGAGAGAGAGACAAAATGCGGGGGAGTGAAAAAGCTACAGAGAGCGAGAGAGAAACCTAGAGAGAGAGAAAAACCAAGTGAGAGAAAGAGAGAGAAAGCGAGAGAGAGAGAAAGAGAGAAATCGTGAGAGAGTGTGAGAAAAATAAAGCGAGTGAGAGAGAGAGAGACAAAAAGCGGGGGAGAGAAAAGGCTAGAGAAAAAAAACGAGAGAGAGAGAGAGAGAAACCAAGTGAGAGAAAGAGAGAGAAAGAGAGAAATCGTGAGAGAGTGTGAGAAAATAAAGCGAGTGAGAGAGAGAGAGAGAGAAAGCGAGGGAGAGAAAAAGCTAGAGAGAGAAAGAAAACGAGAGAGAGAGAGAAACCGAGAGAGAGAGAAAGAGAGAGGAAGAAAAACCAAGTGAGAGAAAGAGAGAAATCGAGAGTGAGTAAAAGAAAGCGAGTGAGAGAGAGAGAGAGAGACAAAAAGCGGGGAATAGAAAAAGCTAGAGAGAGAGAGAGAGAAAGAAAACGAGAGAGAGAGAGAAACCGAGAGAGAGAGAGGGAGAAAAGCCAAGTGAGAGAAAGAGAGAGAAAGAGAGAAATCGAGAGTGAGAAAAAGAAAACGAGTGAGAGACAAAAAGCGGGGGAGAGAAAAGCTAGAGAGAGAGAGAAAGAAAACGAGAGAGAGAGAGAAAAACCGTGAGAGAGAGAGAGAGAGTGAGAGGGAGAAAAACCAAGTGAGAGAGAGAGAGAGTGAGAGGGAGAAAAACCAAGTGAGAGAAAGAGAGAGAAATCGAGAGAGAGTGTGAGAAAAAGAAAGCGAATGAGAGAGAGAGAGAGACAAAATGCGAGTGAGAGAAAAAGCTAGAGAGAGAGAAAGAAAACGAGAGAGAGAGAAACCAAGAGAGATAGAAAGAGAAACCAAGTGAGAGAAAGAGAGAAATCGAGAGTGAGAAAAAGAAAGCGAGTGAGAGAGACAAAAAGCGAGGGAGATAAAAGCTAGAGAGAGAGAAAGGAAACGAGAGAGAAAAAAAACCTAGAGAGAGAGAAACCGAGTGAGAGAAAGAGAGAGAAAGCGAGAGCGAGAAAGAGAGAAACCGTTAGAGAGAAATCGAGAGTGAGAGAGTGAGAAAAATAAAGCGAGTGAAAGAGAGAGAAAGCGAGTAAGAGAAAGAGAAAAAAAACGAGAGAGAGAAAGAGAGAGATAAACCGAGTGAGAGAGAGAGAGAAAGTGTGAGAGAAAGCCCTCGAGAGAGGGAGAGAGAGAAAGCGAGAGAGAGAGAGATAAATCGAGTGAACGAGAGAAAAATCGAAAGAGAGATAAACCGAGAGATAAATTAACTGAGAGAGAGAGAGAAATCAACCGAGAGAGAGAGAGAGATCAACCGAGAGAGAGAGAAATTAACCGAGAGAGAGAGAGAGAGATTAACCGAGAGAGAGATCAACCGAGAGAGAGAGAGAGATTATCCAAGAGAGAGAGAGAGATCAACCGAGAGAGAAAGAAATTAACCGAGAGAGAGATCAACCGAGAGAGAGAGAGATTAACCGAGAGAGAGAGAGAGATCAACAGAGAGAGAGAAATTAACCGAGAGAGAGAGAGATTATCCGAGAGAGAGAGAGAGAGATCAGCGGAGAGAAAGAGAGAGAGAGAAAGCGACAAAAAGAGAAAGAATGCGATAGTGGGAGAGAACCAGACAAGCACAAGATGGCAGAAAAACAAAGAAAGTATAAAACTCCACGACAGATTTTTACTAATGTTTCATTATTTATGAGGTTCTGTTTGTTTCCCTCGTACGGGTTAAATTGCATTAAAAGCCCTGGCTCTCGTTCAAGCACCGAAGTTAAGCAACGCAAGCCCGGTCAGTACTCAGTTGAGGCACTGCTTGGGAACACTGGTTGTTGTAAGCAAACTCCTACAATCCAAATTATTATTTGGACTAATGCCCTCATTTTTTTTGTTTTCATCACAAGTTTTCGGACATTGTGTATGCCCCACCCCCGCCCCGGCCTTCCTCAGGTGTGTGTATATCGATCTGGGTAACATACAGAGAATTTCAAAATTAACTCTTTATTTAATCTGCCGGGGTAGACTGTTCTTGTTCCACTTCCAAGAACAAGACGCCATATCCCTTGACCTGAACAGTGGAACGCGGGCAGTCTAAATTAAATAAAGGGTTCATTTTGAAATTCTCTGTATGTTACCCAGATCGATTTACAGCTGAGGAAGGCCGGAGGGTGCAGCAGGCGAAACTTTGTGACAACAACAAAGATGAGGACAATGGTCGGAATATAAATAGGGTAAATAATGATAATGTAAATTGTTCTAGTTCCACGTGCCATGCCTCTTGCGGATGTGTTGGCTATCTCCGTTTAACTCAACTCTCCATAATTTTGTTCTCCACCGACGTAGCCAGGTATTGAACGTCACAACTCTTTATGCCTCGTCACTGGATCTAACCAACGCCTTTATCCACTGGGTCATGTGTCCTCAAGATCCAAAGCGTTGTGAGTTCAATATCTAGCTACTATAGACTGGCCTGGAAACTCTCCTGATTTTAAATCCCATCGATAATCTGTGGTCAGTCTTCAAGGAATGACTTTGGGGAATGGACAAACGAATTACTAACATGTGCACTGGATTATATTTCATTGGAAAAATACGAAAAAATTAAATCATAACTGAATTATTCGTTTTGTTTCAATTAATTTACACAAAGGTGTAGGTGATAATGGCCCTCCACATCTTCTTGTACAATTAATTTGCACAAGGGTGTATGTGTAAATTATGAAGACATCCCAAATAACTGGACACTTTTCAGATATAACTCGTAGAGAAATAGACAGAAATTTCGCTACCATTTGTAATATTCTAACAATGTTGTGGATAATTGCGGAATATTACTAAAAGACTTTTTTCTCTTTCATTCATTTTGTCTTGGTGTAATGGTTAACGAGATTGTCTCGTTAGAACAAATACGAATACGTAGTGAGTTTGATCCTCACTGGGTGCTCCATACTTTCGGCCTTGTGCCACATCTAAGCCGCTAAGGGTACTTCGAGACGGTGTAATGGTTATCAAACTTGTCTCGTTAGAACAATTACAACTGAGTTTGATTTTCACTGGGTGCCCCATACTGTCGGCCTTGTGCCACATCTGAGCTTAGAAAATCACCATTCTGCATTGATACTTTTGTTTTCGTTCTTCTACCATCGTGTGACTATCTATTCTCTCACTCTCCCTGCCCCCTCTCTCTCTCTCTCTTTCTTTCTCTCTCTCTTCTTCTCTCTATGTCCTTTTCTTTCTCTTCATCTCTCTCCCCTTCTCTCACTCTTTCTCTCTATCTCTCTCTGACTCTCTCTCTTCTCTCACTTTATCCCTCTCTTTTTTCTCTCTCTTCCTCTCTTTCTTTCTCTCTCTCTTCTTCTCTCTCTTCTCTTCTCTTTCTTTCTTTCTTCTTCTATGTCCTTGTCTTTCTCTTCCTCTCTCTCCTTTTCTCTCACTCTTTCTCTCTCTTCCTCTATCTTACTTTCTCTCTCTTCCTCTCACTCTCTCACTTTCTCTATCTTTTTTCTCTATTCATCCTCTCTCTTTTCTCTCTATCCCTCTCTCTCACTTTCTCTCTCTGTTCCTCTCTCAAACTTTCTCTCCATCTCTTTCTTTTCTTCTCTCTTTTTTTCTCGCTTTCTTTGCTCTTTCTTCCACTCCCCTTTTCTCTATCTCTCTATTTCCCTCTCTCCCTTTCTTTCTCAGTTTCTTTCTCTCTCTTCCTCTCTCTCTCTTCTTCTTTCTCTCACTTTATTTCTCTATTGCTCTCTTCTTCTTCTTCTTCTATCTCACTTTCCTCCTCTTTCTTCCTCTCTTTCTCAACTCGTTTCTATTTTCTCACAAACATGGCCGAATATTTCCTTCTCTGTCGAGGACACACATTCAGCCGACAGACACATGTACACGTGGACACACGCATTTAATTTTATTAGCTTTCACGAAACACATGCTGGACGATGACTAAACAATGTGCCCGGAAGTTAGGATCGGTTTCAGCTAATGACGTCAATGCTCATAACCTGATGACGTCAATGCTCATAACCTGATGACGTCAATACAATTGCTGACGTCAACAAAATTACGTGATGCTAAATATACTTAATTACTATTATTATTATTATTGAGCGAGCTATCAACAAAGTGACGACGGGGTACAAAATATATACAACTCATGACCTGGCATGTGTATCACAGTCAAAATGTGCCAAAGGTCGTGATATGATTATGAGTTTTGGCAAAAGCAGCTCATAACCTTGCAGGTTGTGTTACCCAGTCCGTTCAGACTGTCTCCAGTTGACGGTGTTCCCTAGTATCTAGCTGTGACTCCCAAGCCACCATCGCTGCCCCACCTTTCAGACTTAAAACTTTGAGGTACGGTTGATAGCAGCTAGGTTTGTTTTGTAATCTGTCGCGCGTACATATTACAAGTAATAATAGAAAAACTTCAATGTAAAATAATAAACTATTTAGTCACCAAACGCAATTTAAAAATGTTAACAACAAAGAAGTAAGAGTCAACTGAAAGATTATTGATTACTTATCAGTTAATACATAACTACGTAGAGCTGCTAAGAAAAGTATTATGTCGTCTTAAAACATGGTACTGTCGACTTTAACGTCCGGGTTAACACAATAGTCAAACACGTAATGGTAACCACTCAGTCAGTGGCATGATATCTCTATTTATAATAAATGGCGGTCTACATTTCCATTGTCTAGAGATTCACGTTCAATCTCCGGTGTCAGCAGTGACACTTTTCGTTCGTATATGACAGTTTGAGGAACCAGAGAGCCGAGTTCGAATTCCAGTAGAGATCACTGCCTTCACTTACGTGATAATACACTTGAGAAAGGTATGAATCCATGCATTCCCCCCCATTTGTATCTAGGGATAAATAGCAGGATGAATTGGGCCCTATAACCTCAGTTTGCAACCAGTCTAGGAAAAGGAAAACTTTGGATTCAAAACCACCCTGGAGAGGGATGGGCTCCGTCAGGCTGTCTTGTTAAATCACTACAGTAGATGTGGTAGCCTTACAAGATTCGTGTTTGTAACCCTCTCGATCCCAACTCTTGAATAAAGGTACACTGTGCATTAATCCATCGTGGCAAGTAAAATTGTCGGGTACCAAACGAAATATTTTCTGTAGCCCATCTTAATTCACCAATTTTAACGCCTCCAATCAAGTATGACTTCACACAGGGATTTGCAGATCTAAGCAATGGGGACTTCTGAAGCGATGAAAGACTAGGCTTGATTTTCTTTATTACTATTATTATTGTTGTTATTATTATTATTATTATTTGTTTATACTATGTATCCTGCTTTGTATCCTGTATAGCCAGGTCCAAACTATGGTCCTTAGGTCCTACAGGAGAACTGTCATTTAATTGATAGCACTTTTCTTAGTATATGGGATATTCCTAGTAGGGCAATCTTCTGGGCACTTGTATATTGATGTTACCTGAGACACTGTTACTAAAACTGCCCATTCCTTTTCTCAAAAGACCCAAAGCTTCGATTACTTTTGATACAATCTCATTCTTCATTCCCCACATCCTGTTAATCTCGATATCCAGGGCCTTGTATTTGAAAAATTTCTCGATAATTTTCATGGAAGTGTTTCTCTCAGATGGTACTGTTATATCAGTAAGCATACACTTGCTGAATTTCTTGTCTTTTAGGCCAATACTGGCTTTATTTCTCCTGTCAGTTTGAATTGACATGTCCCAGAGGATAGTTACATCGTAATTTTCGGTAACTGTGTTCGGTTGGTGCTCATAACATCTCTCAGTGGTTTCGATTTCGTGCTTCTTGAATATCTTCCAGTGCACATATGACCTTGTTATGTCTGTGGGTTTATATACTGGACTCTTCAGACGTTTTTATTCAGTTCCTAAGAATCGACAGCCAGACACCTGTACATATAATTTGATTATAGTGGTGAAGGCTTTGTGCATACTTTTTGAAGGGCCGGCTACAGAGACCTGGTGCACTGAATTCAGAGTTGTCTTACTGCTAGACCACTTGCCATTCAAGGCTACAGAACCCAGTCTGTCCTGCTATTGACCCATAGCTGGAGGGAGGAGAAGAAGAAGATTCATATCTTTCCCAACGGTATTAGCACGTAAGTGAATGTAATGGATTCGACTGGAAAGCTTAGATTGGGTTTAAACATGTATCAATATGGTGATTTCCTTTCGTTTTTCAATGATAATGTTATTAAACTTATCAAACAATATGAAAGGAACTTACTTAAAATAAATCGACAACACTTGTCTATATTATTCAATGAAACATGCATCAATATATATATATATATATATATATATATATATATATATATATACTCAGTTGTATGGATATGAGTTTGTAAGCCTGGGTTTCACGTTTTTACGATCATCTGACAAACCCAGGGTCACAAACTCATATCCATACAACTGAATATGTTAGCTCTATCAGTGATTTTAGTGTTTCCACTAAGTACTGCGAATATAAAATAATATATATATATATATATATATATTTATATATATATATATATATATATATATATATATATATATATATTTATATATATTTATATATATATATATATATATATATATATATATATATATGAAAGGATTTTAATCTTATTTAATTTCTTATTAATATTAACGTTATTTTTAGTGGGTACGCCTGTTTAAGTTGTTATCCCTGTTCTTTTTAAACAATGAAAATAATGATAACCGATGTAAACTAAATAGTCCTATTAAAGAAAAGCTAGATACATCCGGGCGCTTTCGGCTATTCTATTAGTTATTATCAAGATTGTCTGGTATTTTTAACTGAGTGTGTAGATTTTTAGACATTTCTAGAGTGATGAGAATTTTTTTTCCAAACACGGTCTGCACATTCTGTCCGTGTTCATAGTTGATTTTACTGAGTTTTGTCTTTTTCATTTTAGTACTAATGCTTCCATTTTCGTAAACACTTATACAAACACGAGAAAAATTAAATAAAAAGTTTCATCACAGTACCTTATAAGTTATCTTTAATGTAATTTGTACAAATGAGTGACTGCTGCCTAAATACACAATTATATATATATATATATATATATATATATATATATATATATATATATATATATGTGTGAATATATACATATGCAATCGTTACGCCACGTGGCCTGACAATTGCATCTAGCATGAAACAGACTGTCGCCTCTAAGTGTTGACTTCAATGTTCACTTTTATGTTTATATATATATATATATATATATAGAGAGAGAGAGAGAGATATATATATATAGATAGATAGATAGATCGATATGCGCGGTACTTATTGGAAAGTGCTCAATATCAGTGATAGAGCTAACATATTTAGTTGGGTTGATGTGAGTTTGTGGCCCTGGGTTTCACGCTTTTGCAATTATCAGGCAAAGTATTTCTGTTGATATTAAAAGCGTGACACTTACGGTCACAAACTCATAACCATACAACTGAAGATAGATAGATAGATAGATAGATAGATAGATAGATAGATAGATAGATAGATAGATAGATGCAGACAGACGCAATTTTCTGACACTTCTGGTCAAAGTCATAAGAAAAATATTTAAACATCTTTTTAAATCAAAATAAATATGTCTACGTTTCGTTAAAACAGAAACTATTTATTTTCTCTCGTAACCACTAGCGATCATTGTCGCTAATGGTGTCCATCAAGTCCAGTGGAGAAGGGTATCAAGACTGAAGCTGAGCCTGTTGATAGAAGTTTATTTTCTCACATAAAATTAGTTCACATCATATTCACAGATGGTTGAGGAGGGGAACAAATAATTTTCCGGGGGCGCAGAGTGATGTCCTCCTTTACGCTTTTGGCGATTGGCCTGAATAACGGACTGCATAACCTGGTTTCTAAATCATCCTTAGCCGCTGTCAGAAATTCCCCTATCACATCGTTAAAATATTTGAGCTTAACAACTTTAAGAAAATATTGCAATAACAGTCATAAATATGGATGCTGGTCATTATTTAAAGAAGTAAGTGGGTACAAATTAAAAGATTTGAAATTGACAACTATTTCCATTGAAACAGACGTTAAACTCTTCTATCTTCCATTCTTTCTTTCTTTCTTTCTTTCTTTCTTTCTTTCTTTCTTTCGTTTTCACACTGAAAATAGTGTCTTTTCCTCTCTTTCCACGCGATCAAAACCGATTAGTCCATTATTTATGAGGTATTGACAGGAGGTTTTAAACACTTCTATCTTCCCTTCTTTCTTTCTTTCTTTTTTCTTTCTTTCTTTCTTTCTTTCCTTCTTTCTTTCATTCATTCTTTTTCTCATGTAGTGTCGTTTTTCCTATCTTTCCATACGATCAAAACGGAATAGTCCATTATTTATGAGGTAATGACAGCAGATTTTAAACACTTCTATCTTCCCTTCTTTCTTTCTTTCTTTCTTTTTTTCCTCCTTTCTTTCTTTCTTTCTTTCTTTCTTTCTTTCTTTCTTTTTCTTAACTAGTGTCGTTTTTCTTATCTTTCCATACGATCAAAACCGATTAGTCCATTATTTATGAGGTAGTGACCGATGTTAAACACTTTTTCTTTCTTTCTTTCTTTCTTTCTTTCTTTCTTTCTTTCTTTCTTTCTTTCTTTCTAGCCAAATACCCGTTTTACGAGCATTTCTCTTGATAATCATCGATATAATAAATGCAAATGCCAGTGTATTTCAGCACTTTTTCAACTTTACTCTTAGAGGCCATGACCCAACATATCATACCATTTTAGAATCCGGCCGATTCCGTGAACAAATTAAAAACATTCCGGGTCGGTAAAGATCCTTAGCAGATTTTAGGCTCATTTATATAATAAATGCGAATGTCAGTGTGTCACTTTTTTTCAATAAAAGGGACACAACTCTTTAACTTTCAATAGC